GGAGCATCATGTATAAGATACGCAGTTTGTGAACAACATGTGTGCGGCATACATTTTTTCCAGCTTTTCCTACTAATGCTGAGTTCCTCACAAGCATCTTATACATCTCTGGCACCTTGCTGTTAAATGTTTCTACAAGTAGAAAATAAAATAGAGCCACTTAGTTAGGTGCAGAGCCACTCTTCCTTGGATAGGGGCGACGAGAGGAAATAAAAGCAGAAAAAATGCACTTGAACAAAATATCAGAAAAGGTTTAAAGAGCCTTTAATGAAATGAAAAAACACTTTGCAAAAATGCCGACGATGACACGAAGCAAACCCTCATCCAGCGCCTATGAAGCGAGTCCACTACCACTAGGCCACGTTGGCGCATAATAACCGAGCGACGAGTTAGCATATCCAGTCGCACTACTGTCAAGCAAATTTCGAGCCCCCATAACTCATAAGAAGAACTATCTTGCAGTTTTAATTTCCATTTTCCTTTACAGCATTCAAAACTCTATCGATTTATCTGGGTCTCCATTCAAAGTCCCGCGGTAAGTAGACTACTCCCCCTTGGTAAGGGTGTTGGTGTGCGTATGTGCGGGCGCGTTTCGCTGGAAATCAATAGCTCCTAACTTCTTCGACCAGAGCCCTGAAACCTTGAGGAAGGGAGGCGGCGGATCAAATCAACAGTAAAAGGAGGGAAGCCCGGCGTGCGCAGGGCAGTCGAACTGGTAGTTCATAAACTTTCAATTGCAATGAGTTTTCTTTTTGAAAGCGAAAGAAAAACCTAGAGATAGGAATGAAAATGTCGATGATGAAGAGGAAGTTGACACATTGATTATTCTGAAAAACAGTGTCTGCTTACACTCACAAGGAAAGGATGCTCTGTTGCAGTGGCCGTTCAAGAAGAGATGCGTAGCGCCGCATGTGGTTCCGAGCGTTGATCTCGAATCTGAGCTCCAAATCTGTTAAATGGTTCTGGGAATGAAGTTGCGATACCACTTTCCCCTCTGTGTTATACCACTATACTAAATATCACTGAGCAAAGGGTAGGTTTGAAACGATGTCACAGCTGGTAGGTTGGAAAACTGGTAGGCATGACATGAAGGCTCGGATCCCTGATGCATGCGCTCGCTTTGTATCTTCCATAAAATGCTTTCTATCCGCTTGCAATACGTTTTTGGTCAAATATTGGTCGTTCACAGAGCTCTCACGTTTTAGGATTCCCGGGTCTGGTAATTTAGTGAAATTTTTGTTACCATCTTCGACCAAATGAGTACGCCTTATTTCCCTAAACACTCAAGATAGCGTTTAAACTTTCGGCAGCTCTCTTCATCACGGTAGAGGGCGGTTGAATGACTGACTCATCCGTCCGAAGCCCTAAGCCCTCACTGGGAGGGTACGGCTGGACCGAGTCAAGTGACAATTTCTAAAAAAAAGACTGTGGAACGATAGTCGATTGATATGATAATCCACTGACTGTCAAGGAACCCTTCCCAGAAGTAAGCGTGGGTAATG